GAAGAGCGGAGCATTAGAGAGTGGGGAGGGGGGCACCAGAGCCCCACAGGCAATGCTGAGAAGCCCCTTAGGGTTGGCCTAGCACAGCTCAAGTTACGAGACAGGAGAACTGAGAAAGATTGACCACTGCTGGGAAGCTGGCCTGAGGCTGGGGGTAGCTGTGTGTGTGGGAGGGGCACAGATTACCAGGGTGAGGGCCGGGTGTCCCCAGAGAAGTCGATTGGCTTGTCCTGCTTCAAGAGCAGAAAGGCAAAGCGGTGGAAGCCGGAGCCTCGGGCAGGGAAGGGGGGCAGGTAGGGACACGTCTCCTGTCCTTCAGCCACCCTGTTGCCCGGGATGTTGGTTCTGGTGGGAGAAAAAGCATCTGTTAATTACCACTCGCGGGAGGTGGCAGCAGGAACATCCCCACCTGTGTGCTCCCTAGAGACTGATATACCTCCCCGGGAAAAGAGACCCTAAAGTGATCTCTACTGTACCATCAAGTAGGAAGTAGAGCTCTGTAAACCCTCGGACGGACTGCAAACTTGTGGAGGGGACAGTAGGGGCTCAGAGGCCAACAAGGGCCCCAGGAACTGTCAAGATGAGAGCTAGGTCAAGCAGCCCGTTTACTGGCCCTGGGGAGCTGTGGGGATGCCACAGCCGTGCACGTGGGAGAGCCATGCGACCTTGGGCTGTTTCTCTCCCCGTTTCCGAAAGCCTCTAGGTTTGTCAGGGAGTGTTTGCCCAGCCTGGCACTGTGATGGCCGCTGCACCTGCCCCAGGTACAGCTCCCCAGAGGGTCCTGTTACACAGGCTGGCAACTGCAGTTGAATAAAAATGCCTGACCTCCTCCCCTTGGCCTGGTGCTCAGAACCAAAGGCCACCGAGAAAACAAGAGGCAGCCCACAGGTACCAGAGGCCTCTCATGGACTCCTTTCCCATTTGATTGTCATAGAGCCCCTCAGGGTGGCTAAGGCATGTGGTGGCATCATCCTAGTCTTACAGGTAAGGAAATGAGTTCAGGGAGACCAGGAGGCCTGTGGGAGAAGCCAAGGCCCACTGCCGCCTGCTTTCCTTCTGCACCTGTCTTCAGCCACTGGATCACAGGGCCCCTGACACCCTCAGGAAGCAGAGGTGATGAACCACCTCCAGGGATGGGAGGCGGTGGTTAATCCATGGTGCAGCCACGAGTGAAATTCAGGTGCAGCTCTTTCCAGGATGCCAGGGCCTCCTGGAATGCTTCTGACCCACTCCCCTACCCCAGGTACTCACACCAGCCAGTGCAAATACTCGGCATCCGGTTCCAGCAGGTGTCCATCTGCACATAAACACACCCCCGACTGCGGGAACTGCCGCCGCTTCCCACCTCCTCCCTTGGAAGGAGCTGGGGCTGGAGCTTTCCATCTGGCCCCTCCCCCATCCCCCCAGGGCTGGAGCTTTCCATCTGGCCCCTCCCCCATCCCCCCAGGGCTGGAGCTTTCCATCTGGCCCCTCCCCCAGCTCCCCAGGGCCCTGGCTCACGGGAGGTGAAGGAGGCAGGAGTCCCAGTGAGCCCCAGACACCTACCCAAGTTGGTGAGCAGCAGTGTCCACATGGAGCCCTCGTCTGCCTCATAGGACACCTCCGGGGCCTGGGCAGCCTGGTGGGGAAAGAACGATGGAGCTGTCACCCCCATCAGGGATGGACAAGCTGTTCTAAACAGACCTTCGTTCTGGAGGTCAGGAGCCTGAGGAACCCTGGAGAAAGAAGAGTCCATTTTGAACCAAATGCCCATGACAGCCCCTTGAGAGGCAGGTGGACAAACAGAGACTTATAGACTTTTATAGAACTCTACAGAGTTGACTATCCAGAGATCTGAACCACTAGAAGGCCAGTGACCAGGGGCTAGGAGGGCACTCTGAAGAGAGGATCAGTCACAGTAGAGTATATGCCAAGACGGAGCTGCTTCTTCTTTCACTTTACGTTCCCTTCTTTGCAATTACTGTGTCATGGTGTTGTTTATCAGAAAATCAAAAAGAGGAGACACAGAACAAGAAAACCCCAGATCAGCCTACACAGATGCCATGCTTGTGTCCTTAACCACCATAAAAACCGCCTCTATAAATGCTTTCAAAAAGGAGTTGTTGTCTGTGGCCCCATGGTGGGATATGTCTGTGTACACAGGGTGGGGAGGGGCACAGGCCAGCAGTTACCTCAGTTGGAGTGACCTCATTGCCGTAGTACACAGGCACCAAGTCGTCCTCGCCTACAGCGTAGGCCACATGCAGGGGGACTCGGGGCACGAAGGTGGCCCCGTGGAACAGGTCTCGATAGAGGCCGTAGTGTTCAGCCAGACGCTGCTTGTGGTAGGGGCCACACGTCCTCTCCCACTCAGCCCTCACTGCCTCCAGTGGGATGCGTGCTGGGAAGGAATGATGCCAGCTGGGATGCAGGGTCAGGGCAGGGACACACCCAGGACCCTTTCCCCTGGGAAGGCTTACCTGTGCGGAGGCGAGCGGCCCGTTCCTCCTCCACATTGGCCCGCAGCGCCTGGAGGACCCGCTTCCGCTCCAACAGCTGTTGGGTCCGGCAGACCTTAGGTGCAGGCAACCCAATGTCAATCTTGTCTTTGGGATCTGGGGAGGGAAGGTGTGTTAGAGAAAGTGGGATCAGGTCTTGGTTAAGCTGCCTGTCCATACCTTTCCTTTCACTGGGCAAGCTCTGC